TTTTCTTTTTTTTTATAAATTGTAATATACAGGCAAAGAAGGAAAAGATTAACAGAGAGACAATGCCAACCATGCATTTACTTTTCTGCATATGAATGCAGAATCTGATTATGGAGATAAGGGAGAAAAGCCTGTTCCAGTGAAATCTCTAAGCAAACAGTGTGGTGAGAAAATGACACTGAGCACATTTCATTTGGATTCATAATGGCAGGCAGTGATGGGAGATGATAGACAGAATATTTATTTCGTTCATTACAGCTGACGGAGCCATAACACAGATTTACAGCAAAGTTTATTTTTGCTCATTTTTTCCCCCAAACTAAAATATACTGCGGTTTTTATTTGGGGTACATAATTGGGGATACAATGTGCTGGACAACCAACCAATCCAAAGACAGAATGAACTTCATCTATCTAGAACGTCCCTGTCATTACCTGAGCCTTTCTGTGAGCCTTTCCTCTTCTTGAGTGCTTTCTGGAGAATTTCCTTCATGGTTACCTTCAGACTGTCCACAGGGATTAAAGAGAAGCCATGGGCAGCATTTCTAAAATAGGGGGAAAAGCAGAAAAGGTGAAGAATGCATCTGTAGATTTAACTTTTATCATCAAGACAGGCGAAATGTAGTAAACAACACTTCACTGCACCTGTAACATTACAACCAGTAGGCGATTTGCTCATTTTTAACAGGGGGGATGGTTCAAAAGAGAGAATTTCTACCTTTTAATGAATATTCTCTCTCTCTCCCTCCCTCTCTCCCTCCCTCTCTCTCTCTCTCTCTCTCTCTCCCTCTCTCCCTCTCCCACCTGGATAACCGCGACATTCCCGTATTCGCCTCCCACTGGTGGTTACATACATGAATATGTTCCCTTACTTACATTCTGACAAACAGTGACTGTCTGGAAGCGAGACCGGGTGAAGAGTATTTCTCCACCAAGGCCAGAGTGCTGAAACCAAACTTGTGGATCGGCTCATTGGAGTCCAGCGGAGGGAAGTCTGTGTCCACCTCGCCATCGTCCTCCGCGATGTGGAGGCAGTAGGCGGTCACATTCTCACTGTGGAGACAGATGTGTTGAGTGTTAGGCAGAAATGTACATTCTACCAAAGGGGTGTTGAAATGGGTTTTTTGCTCACTTGAGTTTGGGCTCTCGTCCCTCGCCTGTGTACTGCCAACATATGAGGCCAATGAGGTCGTGGACTCGGGCGTTGGCAATGGTCACCACCGTCATTGGGTGTACTTTCTCCTGAGCCAGCTGCATTGAGAGGTAGACGTCTATCTTTTTTGTTGCTGTTGTGCCAATGTGGCCCTAAAAAGGTGAAGGGGACACCATGCAGAGAAAAACCCTGATTACAAAGAGTAAAGGGATACAGCATGTGCTACGTCAAACTTTAGTATCTACTGTGGGGGGCTTCCTACAGGAGAAATTAACAACAATCATGAGGCAGATGTCGTCTGCACTGCTCTGTTTGGTTCCACAAAAGGTGATTCAAGCAGAGGGAAGGGAGCAAATATGGTGCTAATATTCATGCTAGACTTTGTGTGGGGTAATTGTGTGTATATATAGTTTTGCTATACTGAATCTAAACTCCTGTAATGGTGCATTAGACAGAAGCTTTTCTGTGTTGGATGAATTTAATCAAATAGGCTCACATGTTTTCTTTGCTACAGAATGACATAATTCTAAAATAGTTTATTTTAAAGATACAAATGAAGAGAAACTACATGTGGAATGACTCACCTTGCCATCAAACTTGGAGTATTCATTGAAGGGGTTGTTGAGCTGCTGGGGACACTGCTCCAGCCGCAGTGAAAGGGTGGATTTGGTACCTGTGGTCCGCGGCCTGTCCTTAAAGTCCCGTTTCTCAAACAGGGACCCCAGATCCTCCACTGGACAGAAAGCATCAGAGCAATGAACAACATGCAGCATCACTTGCTTATTTTCAAGTACATTGAGAAAAAACGTTATAACGTTCTGATCAAAACTAGTACAGAGTAGAGAACTGGAGAAAACTGCAGCATATTTTATTACACGTATATCTCCATGTAAATACATATTTTAGGTACAAGTCTTTACACGAAGGCACAAAAGTATCTGAAGTAAATCAGTAAAACCAGTCGTCATCAGCTCAAACAAAGGGTTTCTTCCTTGTTTGACTGGAATTTTTTGATAGAAAATTACTCAGTAATCAGAACTCCGTTCATATCACAAAAAAAGAAGTAAACATTCGAATTAAGTCAGAAAAACTGAATGCGATTTGCTGTAACCAAAATGTTTTCTTATCCCAGCGGGTGTGTAGAAGGATCCCGTTAATCATCTCCTAACACCCCCTCACCACAGCTGGAGGATCATGGTATCGAGATGTTTCATATAATATTTGAGTATGTCAGAGAAAATACTTTGAAAATTCAGATTTCTTATCAGCTTTTTAAAATTAGAATAAAGATTTTTCGAAAAATTCCCTACGAACAAAAAAATATTCGTAACTACCAGAGCTTTGCTGTTGAAATAAGTTTATTTTTTTATTCAAAATAATACGAAACATTACCTGATTGGGAGTTGGACCTCTCTTTCCATTGAACGTTTTTACATTTGATTTGGTTCTGCCGTTCTTTCCTTAACCTTTCAAGTCTTTGCGCTGAAAAGAAAAAGAAAAAAACAACTTTAAAATTAAAAAAAAATCATCATTACGTACACCACTACCAGTACGCTGTGCTTTGGTTCAAATATATAATGTATATCTTTCATTGGGCCTGTGAGAGCAACACTCACTCTCTGCCATGTAATATTTTGACAGACAGTCACACACTAATATGTATATAGTACAAACACTAAGAAGAGCTAACACCAAATAAAACTTGTTTACTTTGTTAAAACGCTTTTTGGTTCATCCCTCTCATCTTACCAGCAGCCCCAGGTTTCTCTCGGCTGTCTTGTTGGAGTCCTGATGAGACAGCCACCACAGGTCAGTGAACGAAGTCAAGGCTGAAAGTCTCTACCCACAACCCAGAACCAAGACCAGCACTCCACCAAACTTAGAGCAAAGCTCAAGGGAGCCAAAAAGAGACAAGCCGTCTACCTTTGGACTCCCTCCATCACCAAAACCACAATTACCTTCAAATTAAAACACCTGAATGTAGCTTAAAACAGATTCACACTCTTCATTTCATTCAAACTCACTGTGCTCAATTTGTACACGTCATATTACACCCCCACATCCCAACTCAAACACAGTAGCATTTGAAGACGGATTGACCGACAGCCCAAACCTTGAGATTTAAACGAGAACATTTTATTGTCCTTACGGGGAAATGAAGTTGCAGTTGACATTGATAAATGTGGCAATCAGGTGGCGGCGCTCAACAATAAGAATTGCCAGCTTGCTCAGGGCAAATAAAGGGCACCTTAGGGCAGTAAATCTAGCATATCACTTGCCAAAATGGGCAAGTGGTAGTTCAAAATATTTAAACAAATCATGTTGGGGTTTTTCAAAACTGCTGAGAGTTGCACACGCCAAGTACAGATCGTGCACGAGCAAGAATGGTAAATGGACTTTTGTTGGAGCACTTTTCTAGTCTTCCGACCACTCAGAGTGCTTTAACACTACATGATGTCATTCACCCATTCATACACTGATGACAGGGGGCTACCATACAAGGTGCCACCTGCCATCAGGACTAACTAACCATTCATACACACTGCAGGAGCGATTTGGGGTTAAGTGTCTTGCCCGAGGACACATCGACATGGACAATCAGAGCCGGGGATCGACACAGAAAATGGTGGAAGCTGAAGTCTACCTGCTGAAGCGCAGCAGGACTACTAAATAAAACAATGTGTATCGGGACAAGTCTGACTCCTAACCTACTTCCCCGACCAGACAAGTGAAAAAGAAATCATTGACCCCTGAGGTGCTGGATATTTATTCATTAAACAAAGTTGTTCTGTCAACAGTCTCTTTCATAATGGTGGTCTGTAGGGAGAGGCTTTTTGTTCATCCTAATGTCTGATCTGCTTGTCAAAACATACTGATGTCTATCTGGACACTTCCGGGTCTCTCAGCTGCATACATAACAGGGGGTATGTATGCAGCTGTTGAGATCCCAGCTTGTGTCCTAATCGCTAGCTACATCTGGCCCTATGGCTGTCTGCTCTTGAGCCACAGCCATCTTGATGCTCTCTCTTCTGCGGAGTTTCTGATGGCTCTCCTCTACACACCCTCAACGCCCAAGTGGCTGCAGTACAGCGCTGTGGTTTATTTATTTTTGTCACATCAGCAACTGACTGACAGATGGAGCTCATAGTATTGACAAATACAAAGATTTGGTTTAACAGTCACCTTGTTCCAGTTTGACCATCTCTCACAGAAACAGTGAGAATACTTCTTTTTTTTTTTTTTAAACAGACTGATATTGAGTTGATAGGGCATAGCTCTGAACAGTAATTGAGAAAGTCCTGTCTGAAATGTAATAAAAGAACCACTCCACAGCTGATCAAGAGATACCCGCCCACTACCTGAGCCTCTCTACCAAGATATAGTGGTAGACAGGATCAAAAGCAGCAATGAGATCCAATAGTACCAATGCAGAACATTCTCCTGCATCACCATGCATTAAGAAATAGTTTGAGACTCTAAGAGGAGACCTTTCTGTGGAGTGCAACCAACAGAAAAGCAGACTGAAAATTGTCAAGAAGGTTGTGCTCATCTAAGACAGCTGCAAGCTTTTAAGACTGTCGCTGTAAAAAGGAGCTTAGAAATGGGACTGTAGTTCTGGTGAACAAATGTTTAACAAAGAGTTATTGGTTATAGAGAGCACACAAGAAGAAAAAATAAGAAGAAAATTAACAATCTGACTGCTTCATTTACAAAGTATACTCGAAATGAATAGTTGTAAATGTGATCCTCAATTCACAGCAATTACTCACATTCACGCAGTGAACTGCAATCTAACCCCATGCTTTCCACTTGTGTTGCAACAACCTTCAATAGCACACAATTTGACATGAGCCTCACTAAACCACTGGCCCAGATTAGACACACAAACCCCATCCAAACAACAGCAGAACTGGCTTTCTGGCTGCCCCTGCCATCATGACAGAGGGGAAGGGGTGCCTGACAGAAAGCCTGCCCTGCTAACCAGCCGGAGCCTGGAGATGTGCCTACCCGTGTTGGAGCGCCGACGGATGCCAAAATCCCAGCTCGATGTGATGTCCATGGACTGGGAGAGGTCGCAGGCATGATTGTCTGTCACACTGCCGCCCCCCTCGATCAGGGAGTTCGACCCCGTTGACCCACAGCTGCTGCCAGGTACCAGAGCCAGCTGGCACTTCTCCAGATCTACATCCTGGTCTATTAGTACCATCTCACACATTCCTGTATCATCACTGGTCACATGAGACTGTCTGATGTGGGCCAGAATAATGGCCGGGTTGTCCAAGAAAGCCATTTCCTCTGCTTTGGAAAGTGGCTGACAGCTTCGGTTGTTTTCTCTTTGTCTCACCCTCTTGCCTGTATTCCAGAGGATCCCTTGCTCTCTCCTTTCAGTCTCTCTCTGAGAGTCTTAAAGTAGTGGCCGATGAAAAGTGGAGAGCACTCATCTTTTCCATCTTTTGATTATTTCCTCTGCTCCAAGGCAGTAAAGGTGCCAGCACCTGTTTGGAGCAAAATAACAGCTATTACATGGTGGGGGCGGGAAATGGGGAAATTAAGCCTGAGACTTGGAGCAAAATCTTTAGGAAAAAAATATCTATTGACATTTACCAGCCTATTGGTCTGAAGCTCAGTAAGTTATGGTGGGGAACTACTTCTGCTTGGAATGTTCGTGAGTGTTGTCACAATACTGACATGTTGTCAAAGACTCCAGTGTCAGCCATCACCGGACACTTGTGTTGACCAGTAAATAAATGACCTCCTACAAAAAAAAATAACTGGCTGTCTTGAGTATTGACACTGTGAACACAACGCTGTTGGTAATTTCAGCACCGAGATAAGAGCTGTGAATAAGGGCAAAACAATTGCGTACCACGGTGTTACATTAGCCTGGCTGAGGTTAGCATGTTAGACGATGCTGTGACACACTCCAGCCCAAGGACTTTATCTAACGTTAGTAAACAAGCAACACCAGATGACCAGCCACATATTGTTACAATCATATCTAACGTTATCAATGTGTATTATATCACTTTTTGCTGCTAGTTATTAACACGAGTTCCCCCGACTGATGCTAACTGCAGCTAATGCTAAGCTGCAAAGTGGAAGTCGGATGTCAATTTTGTCAAGCTTAATTATTGTTTTTGAGACAAACTATTAACATACATGTTAACTGTTTCATGCTAAGCTTCACTAAAAGAAGAAGTGCTTAATACGTTGCACTCGTGCCCAGCGATACTCTTAAAAACTCTCACCCAACAACCTGATGGTAACAGTTAGGTTAACAGCTAGCGTTAGCTGAACTTTGCTAACTTGCTAACTTAAAACTCCTACACATCAGCTAACGTTAACTAAGTAAGCGCGAACCATCTAAAAGTTGCAGCTATACTCGGTATTCAGACTGTAGAAATATGTGGTCACGAATGTCACTGCACATTACATTGATTGTATCTAGTCAGCTCGTAAGCTTGTATAGGCGAACATCACGGACGCTTTCTTTGGTTAGCTAGCTGTTAGCTGATCGCGGTTAAATGCTATCATAGCCTCCCAGAGTAACTGTTAGTTAACGTAAGTTTATGACGTTGTCCCACCTTTAGAAGTCACATCCGATAAGGGAAAGAAATGCCCAAATTTCCATATTATTCATGAATATTCCCAGTCGTGACAATAGCTCTTTTTATTAGTAATAATGCACTAGAGCAAAAATCATAACACAACTGCAACCCAAAGCAATCTGCTGTGCTCAGGCTGAGCCAGCAGGAGCGAACCCAGTTTCAATTCCAATTCCGGTTCCTCTTCTTCCTCTTCTTCTTCTTCTTCTTCTTCGTCTTCTTCTTTTACTTTTAATGGCGGTTGGCAAACCGCTTTCAAGTGCATTGTCGCCACCCAGTAATCTGGAGTGTGGGCTAAGTATACCCTCTCTAATACGACAACCAAACGAAGAAAACAAAAATAATTAACCAAACAAAAAGGAAACGAATGAATTAAAAGAGAAAGAAAGAAAAGGGAAAAAGCCAAACATTTTCTTTAGTATAATAATGATATTTTCCTCTCCAAACTCTCTTAGTCCATTTTTCAAAACTTGTATTGTATCCGGCTAAAGGTCTGTGGACACATTTCAAACTCATTAACACTGCACATGAGTCTGATGCTGTCACCACTCTCTCTGGCCTGATATCCTACCCAGTGTAAGGCAATAACAATGGCCATCACCTCACATGCTAACACAGATAAATCATCACTGAGTCTCTCACACTCAACATTGAATTCTTGGATTACTGCTGCTGCTGCTGCTGTTCTACCAGTTTTAGGGTCTTTAGATCCATCTATATAAATCTGGAAATATTTGTAGTAATTCCTTCTGATATATGACTTGAAGATCTTACAGTTTCCCCCACATTCATCTCTCATCATTTCAAGGAGGCCAAGAGCAATTGCAGGCTGTGGCAGTAAACCAAGGAGGAATAGCCGGCAGAACCACAGTTGGAGAATAACTCCTATCCAGTATACCCAACTCACTAGCCTTCTTCTTAACAACCCAACCAAAGCTCTTTGTTGGCCTTTTTTCATGTTCTCAATAGCACTTATTGTTGGAACCTTGTTATGTCCTTGTAAACTGACCCAATATGGCATCCTGATCTGGATTCTTCTTAAATCTAATGGCATTTCCCCCATACCTGCAATTTAAAGGCCCCACTACATATCCTTAATGCTTGTGCTTGTATTACATCCAGTTTTCCCAACAAGGTTTTAGACGCCAACCTATATGCCACACAGCCGTAATCTAGAACTGATCTTATCAGACCTACACATAGCTTTCGTGGCAGACCTGTCAGCTCCACACTCTGTTCCCACCATGCATCTCATTACATTTAAAACCTTTTTACACGTATTTATTAATGTGTACATTCCAGGTGAGCCTAGCATCAAACATTAAGCCTAATTTAACTACCTCATTGATTTAATTGTCACACTTAAATCCTGAATTGAATGGTTAAACAGAAGAGTTCAAAGGGCCGAGATGAGAAGATATAATGTTGGTCAAATACTGTGGTCAAAATAAAATGACTTCAGTTTATTTGCCATTGGGATACAGAAAGTTTGACTCTAGAATATTTTCAATTGTCTTCCTAATCTCACAAAACAAGAGCAAAAACCAGATTAATTGGTTCACTTTTCTTCTTTGCTACCATGTTACCGGTCTCATGACCCCTCAGGTTGATCTCTGGAGCTGTAGGCGGATGCAGAGCTTCAGGCTGGAATTGGGTTGGGAACCAGTGCAACAGACTACCAGCTCTTTAGCATGTTGGACACACCAGCATGACACTGTGTCGTAAAATTAAGTTCCCGTCCAATAACACTGGTCTGCAGAAGCCTGCTTTGGGAGGAGGGCTGTTTAAAACTGTTTAAAACTGTTTAAAACTGCGACTGTAATCTGAAAGAAAAAACATGTCAAGCACAAGTCAAACACTCCCCTAAAAGCAGAAACCTTCAGCATTAGTGGTGGCATTGCATTGTGATTATATTCCTTTATTTGATTTGCATTGCTGCATCTGAATTCTTCTGATTCTTCCGTCTGCAGTTAATCTGCTCACCTGATTTCCATCAGCAGCTTTGGTTTACAAGAGCTGTTCCAAAACATACCAGTCTTCTGTCCAAAAATGATTGTCATCAGTGACGTTTCCGTGGTCAGAGAGAGGACTGAATCCATCCTCAGTACAAGTCAAATACAGGAATGTTTATTTGACCTATTTACAAGTAGATGAAAGAGATACAATAAAAAAAACATCAGTGCTGACAATGTCTTCTTGTAACATCAATCAGGCACTTGAGTCCATCTTTAAAAATTTGTGGCAGATTATTGACAGGATTGTCCAGCAGTACACTCACATCTGGGCACTGCAGAGCAAATTCCCTCTCTGCAGCTTCCTGGTCCTGTGCTCTTACTGCCAAAGTGTGACACTCGTGTCAATGAGCCCACCTCTTCCTCATACCAGTCTGCAGCCACTGATGCATCCGGCTAAAGGTCTGTGGACAGCTTTTTTGGGCATCCCTCTCTGGTGTAACTAGGGATCCCCTTCCCTATAATAAGAATTGAATGTTTCAAAATGGTTTTCTCTTTGAAATGAAATTGTTCTAATTCTGTGGGCCTCATGATCAACACATGCTCACTCTTCCATGTAGGTATGTTTAGTTATTAAATTAAAGATTAAAACGATTAAACAATCCCTTATTAGTCCCGCAGTGGGGAAATGTGTTCTCTGCATTTGACCCATCCCTAGTATAGGGAGCAGTGGGCTGTCCCTGAATCCCCCTATATCTATAGTTTAAATACACGTATACTGCCATCTAGTGGTAGAAATGGTAAACTATTTTACTTATACTGTACAGTCTATGCTCTACGTTCACTCAAGCAACAGCCCAATATGTGAAAAAATAAATACCAGTGCCAACAGCAACAACTCTGCGCACACAAAAATGACTTTGATTAAACTATATTAGGAACTGTATTGCATCAAACAATCCACAGATTAATCGAAAACTTGATTCTTGCTGTGTACATCAATTAATATTTAATCGCATGTCAACTGCTGTTGCCAACACACTCTCATCGGCCCAGGGTTATTTATTTATATTCATTAATGTATTTTCTTCTAATGTTACTCTGGTATGTGCTTGCATCATAGACTGAGATTTTCTAGAATACGATCATTCTATAGCCTTGACCTTTATGCCTGACTATCACTGTTCCATCAGCAACTTCTGGCTCAGTATGTGAGAAAACACCTGCTGAATCTGTGCAAGGTGCAACTGCACAGGAAGAAATAAAGAAAATGTCAGTTCTGATATTCGTGGAGGCGCTGGTTTCGCAGATATTCAGGAAAGCAAAAGTGAACTGGACCACTGCAAAGTCCAAGCCATCATTATGCATCTGTTTGAAAGAACGTGGATCGAGGTCCAGGGTAACTTGACAAGGCCATTTTCCAGGACCTTTGTAAGAAGTGGAGCGGTGCACAAATGGTGCTGTTGTCCATGAAATTAGGGGAACCTGCTCTTGGGAACTGCATTGCCTCCTTTGTCAAAGATCACCTGATGACACCCCCCAAAAAGAGCAGCACCATCTGCAAGTTCTTCTTCCAAATTCTGCAGGTGTAGAAATAGGGTTGGTGTGAAGTAGGTGAAAGTAAGGTAAGGTTAGGTAAGGACTTGAGCCTTTGTGAGTCTGTGTGATGTCTACCGTGACGGTAGTTAAGGGTTTTTCACCGGGAGCCCCGGTTGACCCACATTCAGTGCAACATCTAATAACAATAAAAAAAATAATAATAACAGTAATAATTGTGCTTATTTCACTTATCATTTGCCATAAGAGCAGTAAATAATTCTTTCAGCGTAAAATTCTGCTAGTTCAGTGAATTCACATTTATATAAAGAATAAAATAACAACCCCGAATAGAAAGTAGATACGTTCTGCTTTAGAGTTTGAAAAGGGCGGGTCAGAGGACAGTCAAGACTGTATTTTGTATATAATATTTAATGCATTCAATTCAGTCTAAAGTTTTGTTTTTCAGTGAGTTTCACATTCTTTTTTAAGTACAAAAAGTACCAAAAGAAATAAGAAAGAAAACAGTGTGTTCATTTGCAGCAGTTTCTTTTCATATGTAAACCACATGCATCAGCATTGAAGTTATAGTCATGACCCAAAACCCACCTGGGTTAGGTGTTTGCACCCAATTCAATTCCACACGACCACATTAACCTTCAAGAGCTCCCCACTGCTCCAATAGTACGGATTTATTGTTAGGGAGTCACTCTAACGACAACATTCAATCAAAAATCATGATACATTTCAGAGTTTCACACATCAGTTTCAATATATAAAATCTATACGTTCACAAATTTCTCAGTGTCAGTGTGCACCATTGACAAAGAGTACAGGTTTGTTTTAATCAGTCTGGGTGCGCAGTATAGGGCATTCACATACAACTTAGCAATTAATTCAATTACCGCAAACGAATTGCCAAATGGTGAACCTGCTGAGTCTTTGACCCCCTGAGGGCAGTGGCCGCCTTTGCCTGGTTTCTAAGCCTTGTGGATCTAATACATGTGTGCATGTTGTTCATGCTTGGTATGCTCGTGCAATCCAACATTCATCTACATTTCTGGAGAAATGCACGTAAAAGTTTGGAGGCAGTCCTCTCTCCGGAGAAAGCGTCCAAACACACACAAAATACTGCATCGTTAGCGTGTTATTGTTTCCACCAATGTTCACTACGTAGCACCGGGGCGGGCTCCTCCAGTCGGTTCACTGATCACTCCCCGGTTCCCTTCCAGCAGCTCCATCGATGGCACCCTCCTGAAACCGCTAGCCGGAAAACCACCATGCAAATATACACAAAGCAGCTTAAGTTTCGGATTGATTCGTTGATTATAGAAATTTCGTAAACATGCGAGTCTCCCCGAAGCTGTGAAAAGGCGCGAGAGAGGATAGCACAGAAGAAAATAAACGGAGACCGATCGGATTCAAGCGTTAACCTCACTGGGTAAGCGGTCTAATGTTACTCCGCTTGTTAGCTAACATTAGCATCCACTGCAGATTCGGTGTCAGCGACACTTTATCACGTAAACTGCTTTCCCCTTAGACGGTGGGATAACATTACTACAATTTCTTAGTAAATTAGATACGTGTGGTGAACTCTTAAACCGCCAGCGGGTAACGTTTGCCCACCGGGCAGGAACACCCAACGTTACAGTCTGACAGCTTTTGCTACGGGTTTTTGTCGCAGCTGGTGTTCGGTTACTACCGACGTTAGCGTGCTAACGCTAGCTGACTAGCTTGTTAGCTGTGTCGCCAAGCAAAGCTATCTCCGCTCCCCTTCTAACCAGTCGGTTTGAAGAAAACACGAGTGAAAAGCGCTAACTGGTCATCGTTTAACGGCGTGTTATTTCGACGTGATGGGGCTAGTTAGTTGGGTTAATTATCTACACAGTTGTTGGCTGTTTTTGTGTAGCCATGGAGCCAATGGGTGCCTTGCCCAGTATGAAGAGGACATGCCAAATTCAGTTGCTATATGGGCGCAGTTATTGATACTTATATAGCTGGTTAATTCACAAAGCACTGCTTTTGTTCAATACATCTTTTTCGAAATGGTTCATGCTGTTTCTTACTTCTATGTAATCAAGGGGCAGTAGTAGTTGCGTGTGTGTGTATATGTATATGTATGTGTGTGTATATATATATATAT